CGGAGGAAAACTCCGTGTTGCCTAGACCACGGCCTTGCCCAACACAAGTTATAAATTCGGGCACCGCCGGGAATCGAACCCGAGACCCCCAGGATTACAAGGCCAGCGTTCTAACAGCTAGACCACCGTGGCGGTAGCGATTTCCCTCCGAAGACAGCGCCTCGCTTAACGTCTTCAAAAGCAAGGAAACGGTGTCGAAAAATATCGAATTTTCGAGTTATGTACGATTTCCCTCCGAAGACAGCGCCTCGCAGAACGTCTTCAAAAGCGAGGAAACGGTGTCGAAAAATATCGAACTTTCGAGTTCTGTCCGTCTGTTAATTTTAATAACTACGTCATAGAAAACTGACTTTCCTTCGTAATTTCAGTGAGACCTTTTTAACTGTAAACAACATTAATTATTCAGAGTGTTAAAACGCTGTGGGTTGCTGTGTGCTCTGGTTTGTGACCCAATGTAGTCGTTACCAACATTTCGAAGCAACATTTCCCCACCCACCCATTTATGATACGCGGAATCGATATCCAGAAGACCATGACCCAAGTTTTAACCGCCGTGAAAACGTCAGATGTTGAAACCACGATTTCTGACAATGTTTATCGTTATTAACACTCCTCAGTGCAAATACTACTTCGAATATTTTTTCTTTGTGAGACACGTTCACGGTTAAGGATAATTCTGCAAGAAGTGAGAGACAATTGACCTGAACTGTCAAGAGTGAGGCACCTAGCTGGTAACAGTGCGTCAGTAGGTAGGAATTAATGGGCGGTGTACTTACATTTGGGTGGGTTGATGGGGATGCCGGCTCTGTACAAACTCTCTTCATCCGCCCAGTCACGATTTCTCTGCACAGTTCTCAAGCTGAACGTCGCCAACAGAAGGGACACACACACCAACACAAAACTCTTTCTGGTCCTTGATTGAATCACGTGACATCCGAGTCCGACCAGGAGACAGTAGCCGACACTCGGGATGTAGAGGACGCGCTCAGCGACGACGAAGCCGACGTAGAAGAATAAGTTAGTGGCTGGTAGAAAGGGAAGCACGATAAAGGCGAGAGACAGAAGAACAACTTCTGAGTTACTCAGGTACGTGTTTTCGGTTGAACGCAGTCTTAGAGGATGAACATTTCGCTTAGCGCCGTCAGAAATTATCGACTGGTGGGAGAATTTTGGAATTCCGTTCTTGCAGCAACAAGGAGAGGAGGACGTTCCCAGGATTGGGATCGTGTTGTTGTTGTTGCTGTTTCTACACATAACAGAATGGTGATCCAGAAGGCTGTGACGGCAGACAGGGCAGGGTGAAAAAGTCTTTACAGCGTCGCCGACGTGTGTTGGGGGAACTGCTACGCTGATGTGACCGGCGCGTCGGTGCGAATTCCTCCGCGGCCTGTGATACGCCTGCGTCTTCTGCTGCTGAAGAAAATTGTTTTTTAACGCGGCCAGGTTCCAAAACGTTCTCTTCGTGACCTGATAAAGCAGGTAGTAGAAGACCAGGGTCACTGTGCTCCGAGGGTCGAATATAGATGTTATTCTGGGGATTGCGTCCATAGACCAGTCGAAGCTTAGCCACCGGGGCCACAGCAGAAGACCGAAGTTGAAGACGGGGAGATAAGCGAAAGTGAGAAAGCGACTGTAAAGGGATGGACAGCGCGCGGCCGGGTTGTCTGCAGTGGCGAACACCGGCGTCAGAGTCCCCATGAGGTGCAGGCGGAGTTGTACCAGGACCAGGAGTGCAAGGGCCAGGCACCCCACACTCAGCTGCAACCCGCGAAACCGGCTCTGAAACAGAAAAGAGAAAATGATCCACAATCAAGTTCTGTCTCAAATCTTATTAGACACTTGAAGGCAGAGTTAACAAATCAATGGCTTTCAGAATCATGCAACGTCTCACCATTACTTCTGACAATCGTTTCATTTTAAGACTAAGTTGTCACGATATATTAAGTTCGTCAAAGCTATTTTTTAATAGTATCTCACGAATAACATAAAACAGGCAGGACATCCAGTTTGGAATTAGACCGGAATCAATCCAGCGGTTGTTGAGGTGTACAAGATGGATCATTCATTCCGGCCATATTTCGCCCTAATAAATATTTAGCTAGTTACACGTCTTCATATAATATTTATTACAGACTTCATTATTACGACAGGTTTCGTCACTCAGTGTTTGAAATATTCAGTCAAACATTTGCTACCTGAAATCCGGCGTACTTCCACGAACATGTTGGGAGCCTTGAATGTGACCAAAATGTAGGTACGAAGCCCGCAAAGCCACAGTGTCAAACCAATTGTGCCGCACGGCCTGACATCAGATGAAGCGATCCCAGTTTTCAACAGGTCCGCAAACTGGATCTGCTGAGCGGCAATCACGGAGTAACAGCGCGGAAACGAGTCTAAGCACTGCCCTGCGACTAATCACGCCAGGTACTGCACGTGACCCTCTGGTGGAGATCTGACGGACTCTGCCGTCGTCTTAGGTCGCATTCGTCAGGTGCTTGGTTCGAATTCCGACTGACGTATCCTTGTTTATCTTAATTCTACCACGATAAAACGCACCGGAAATGAAGCTGACCACTGTTCAGAATCGGCGAAGCCACACCTTCACTCTTCACCACAAGTCTTCATGGCGTAGTGATTAATTAAGCACAAAAGCAAATGTACCGTCCGCTATCAAGGACATGGCTTATTCCAAAATCGCTCTCGAGTTATCATTTACGACGGATCTAACATATTTAATTTGACGTTAAGAAATCTTGGAACCTGACAGACAAACGCTCAGATACTTAAAACATTCCCTACTTTTCTGGAACCCAAGCGTTCATCACAGTGTTCACAACAGCCCACCACCTGTTTCTATCCAGGGCCATATATATCCAGTCCATGCCACAAATCTTTATTTACTTACAATCCCCTTTAATATTATCGTCGCATCTAAGCCCAGGAACTAGACAGCGGTCTCTCCCCTTCACTTTAAAGGACAGCACGGCAAATTTACGAAACCTACGTCTCTCGTGAAGTTTAATCATATGTACAGGATATACAGACCTAATGTCGAGTGATCGGGTGGTTTATAACAAACGTCCAATAATTATGATCTATTTTAAAACGGCTTACGGGACAGGATTCTGGCACAACGAAGGGGGACTGGGCAACCCCTCAGAGTTCTGAGATCAAGACGAACACGAACACATCCCAAACCGCAAGATACACACGTGGAGAGAAAACGGAGACCTTCGGAAAGTGTTGAACTATACTTGAAGGCCGTTTGCAGTGCAAAATAAATTACAGTAATGTTCCAGTTCTCAATGATGAGCTCGGAGAATTGGGAGTACGTACTTTCAGCTAACAGACGTCGCTTAAGAGACTTATAGGGGAAAGAAACAACCGATTCACGTAATTACCACTGAAATTAAAATAATAGCATCTTGTTATGGCTCCTGAGAACGCGAAGGTGGACTGTCTCCTTTGCTTGTATCTCAGTCTTACTGCTGTCTTTCTGTCGACCGCTGTCGACTTGTTCATCTAGAAGGCTCCAGGGCAATTCAGAATGCCTTGTCAGTTGCGTTCCTCAAAAACGCCGTGTTATGACCCAGATAACATGAGCTGGGAATTCCACACGTAACTGAAGAGCAGGTCAGACAAGGCCGATGTGCACGTGAGAGCAAAGTCCCGCGGGTCCAATCAGCAGTTTCCAGAAACGGTGTTTAGACACGAGAGTAATTCGTGAGGATCTGGCTCTGTGCGAGTTCTGTACTTTTGGCACGAGAGCTGCTGTCTCAGCGCAAGATGGGAACACGTGCAACTTAGCGTCTGCGGGCTGAGCTTAAGCTACAGCTACAGGACGACCTACGGAGACAAAGCGCTCTTTGGGGACAGCGGCAGTTAAGTGAGGTGACAACTGAGTCCAGTTCAGAAATTCACGGCTGCTATGCGTGTGTGTGTCTTAGCCCTGAAGATGGAGGCAAAATATTTCTCCGAAACGCTGCTATCTACCTACTAGTCCACACGGAATTGCAATCTAGATAATCAACACCGACGTCTTCACGGGATCGAAAGAGGGACCTCCACGCCCCCCTCGCCGTTACATGAACACATCCGTTTGCAGACAGGTACTGGGCCCTACTAGTCACAGAACCGACTTATACCATAATCACGCGAAAAGAAATAGTTTAAAAGCATTTATTTCAGGAACAAAGGTCGATTCCAAGGACGACATAGACGTCTTTATCTTCCACCTACATGTTTCCCATCGATCGCATTTTCGTTGAAATCTTCGACCCACATCCGATGACCTCCTTGTGAGCCCGTTCCATCCCCCTTTCGCGGAGTGACAGCTGGCAGTGCCATTACTACTGACAGACAGGGAGTAAGGCGAGGCACGGCAGGACTTTTCTTGGAACCGCTTCTTAAATAATTCGGCGTTCATTTCTCCGTAGTAATCGGCGTTACTTATTGCTTTTGACGGAAAGTTTTATTTTCCTTCCTGAACAAACCCTCGTTCAGTTGTTTCACCAAGACGAGCTGTGAGCCCATCGCCCTCAGTGGTTCTGATTCACCCACGATTCACATCTGCAATCTCCACTCCAATGACTTCGTGCACTTTTCTAACTTAACCTAAACTTCTGTGGACATTACCACTGCGTGCCATCACAATTGTTCAGACGTCATTACAGCTTGCGTAATTAAAGCTGATGGATTTCAAACTTCTTAACATCGACGTCTCACTACCTTCGATCCCAGTTCGACGACCAGCGTCTACCTGATGGGAAATTCCGCTCTTTCATAAAAATCAAGTTGCGTATCATTTTTGTCAAAATCATCCACACCTGCCACTTCATAGATTTTGTGAACTTTTACTCGTCTATTTAAAATCCATATGTCCTATTGCATTAAGCGAAGATATTCCTTCGTGAAAACCACGGTGGTCTAGCGGTTAGAACGCTGGCCTTGTAATCCTGGGCGTCTCGGGTTCGATTCCCGGCGGTGCCCGAATTTATAACTTGTGTTGGGCAAGGCCGTGGTCTAGGCAACACGGAGTTTTCCTCCGTGGCATCCCAACAATTACTCCATTCACACACAGAAGAAGGCAATGGCAAACCACTTCTGGATCATCTGCCAAGAACGTATATGAACAGGTCCCAGTCCGAGAAAAGGATGGAAGGATCCTATTCATATGGACCTGTCGTCAGACAGAACACTAAATAAATAAAATAACTGGCTTGTGTATTACAGAGACGTGCTGAAGAGAACGTACTGTGTGTGGACATTAACTTTCGGAAGGAAGAAAGGAATTAATACAAAAATATATGAAATACAAATTGTATTCTTCCGTCACACACAATACAGTTCGAAAATTTGTCTGTCAAAAATGACGGGGTAATTTGAATTGGTACTTAAAAACCCATGTTTATTTCAAAATTCAAGAAAGCAGGATATACAAATCAAAATTAAATTCTATTGTATAACGAATGATGTATTTAATTGTCTATCTCCTCTTAATTATACAATGTAATGCCAAATAATGTACTACAGTTTCAAATACGATCTAATAACGAGGTTACAATAATTGTACTTAATCGTACAGAAACACACGTAGGCACATAGTACGCCATGATAGAGTTACAGGTATTTAATAAGTTCCCCTTAACAGCATTGCCATGGCAACAGCTATAATATTATCTCATTAAACTCAAAATCCCTCAGCAGCAAATGATGACCAATCAGCCAAGTTATCAATCAAAATTTTGTGCTATTTATTACTCAGTACAAATTATTGGCATAACTGAGCGTTTATAAGGAACACGGGATGTTTTGTCGAATGACGTGGAGATACAGAAAAAGCGAGGGGGGGGGTTAGCTTAATAAATTTCAGCGACACAAATGGAGAATCTGAATCATGGAGTTTCTTATCTCAACTTTTGCACCATTCTGAATTTCCATAAAATAATAATTCGTTATCATCGTAGAAACAGCACGAGAATTTAGGTGTTATAAAAACACAAAGTCCATTGTGCTTTGAGGATAAGGGAGGCTTTGGAGTGAAATCGGAGAGAAATTAGGAGTCTAGAATGTGTTTATACAGGCTAAAGTCTGTCACACAGACCTGGCTGTTCCTTTACGAATACCGGGGCAGAAAAGACTTTGGTACACGACCAAGGATGAAAAACCATCTGCGTTATATTTTACAGCCATAATAAACGTCGCGTTACCAGGAACCCCTTAAAGTCTGTTGCTCTGATTTCCATAACAGGTTCGAAGAGGCGTACACATTATACAATTTGCGTCCCGTACAGGGGTGACCCCGAGCACCGGGTGGCTTTTAGCAGTTAACCCGTGCCGTAAAATGCTGTTCGCACCTGAACCAACTCCTGAGACTCTCGGGACACGTCGTGAAAGCCAGAGACTGGCGGGCCGAGTACTGGCGGGCCACGCTGCTCCGCACATCTGCGTGCTCTGGCTGAGAGAGTCGGGTGTTCGAATCCGGCTCGGAGCACGACTGTAATCTTGATACTTGCGGGGTGAAGGAGGAAAGATGGCGCCTGCCTTTAACGCTACGGACTTCCTGCATTCCTTGCAAGTCTCAAGATTACAGTCGCGTACTGTAGGCGCTTATGTGTTTAATTGTAAACTGTGGGACGACTTACGGTGGACTCAATGCGAATCTTAAATTTCGATCGAAACGGATTTAGGAAACTGTGCGATTTAAGGAGGCCAAGTCTCGTTGAATACGAGACTCGACAAAGCGAGTTTAATTCGGGTGACGAGTGGAGAGCTCACATTTCGCTTCCAAATGTATTTAATTAAGAGACGAGGTCGTGTAGCCCCGAATGATGAATGGTGACACCCTTGTAAAAATGTTTCCTTGCTCGTTTTAATGCACTGGGAGAAACCACGAAACCCTCACTCGGCGGTCAACATGTTGCGTGCCCCCCTCTCTGCCCTTAATTTATGGTGGTCTGTTGGGGTCTATTAAAATGATGAATTATATTATGGCAATATTTAAAAAGTTGGAAGTGAAGGGAATGGATGATTCTGAAGAGAAGAATATTTGGATGAAAATGGTAACCGAAGTTTCTTACAGCTAAATTCTGCACAGTTCACGCACAACTGAATGACATGTGACGATATCGATTCGTGATGAGTCGGCAGATATCAGTAAGGAAGTGGTCCTAAGCTCTTTAAAGTTTCCTGACGTTTGTTTTCTTAGGTTATTTAAGGCCATTTAATAACGCTATTTCACCGCCACGGTGGTCTAGCGGTCAGAACGCACGGAGTTTTCCTCCGGGGGCTTCCCCGGTTTCTCCGTGGCATCCCAACAATTACTCCACTCACACACAGAAGAAGGCAATGGCAAACCACTTCTGATCATCTCTGCCAAGAATGTATATATGTATGAGCAGGTCCATGACAACCTGAAGAGGTTGGAAGGATCCTGTTCATAATATATGGACCTGTCGTCAGACAGAACACTACAAATAAAATAATAAAATGTGAGGTGTTATGGAGAGGATTACCGATAACAGAGTAGGGATGTGAACCAGGTACCATCGGGGCACAAATCCTGAGAAAGTAAAAATGAATAATTATATTTTATTCATCTGGGCCAAGACAGGAACCGAACACGGTAATGAACCTTTGGCTCAGTGAAAGGCGGGATCCTCTTGATCAACTGAGCGTACAGTCAGCTTCTCAAGGACTCTGCTTCATGTAGATAGGTAATTTACAGTCTGTGGTGTATTCGTATAAATCGCCGATGCCAGGACAATGGGACACATGTAGAAAAGTTGCAACCCGCGTATTATACAGAAAATTTTACCTGAAATTTAGCAGAACCAGCAAAACCATCACTTTAGCCTTAAAATAATATGCAAATTGTATAAACATAAATTTAAAATTTAGGAAAATTAAATAAATACGATGTGTGAGAATTTAATAAAATTGTTCTTGCTCTTCTTAAATTTTCCACTGCCATCGAAAAATTGTCTCCGATACACATTCCCGCTGTCAGACATAAATATCAAAGATTCTGACCCCCCAACAGATTAGCAACTGCTGGAATCTGAACATATCTTATAACGAAATTCGGAATATCGTATATACATAGCTTAGAACATTTTACAGGTTTAATCAGGCATCGAAAATAATAAAAAAAAAAACTGAATGCAGAGTTCGCGCTTCGCTCTAAAAAATTCTAACCCTGGCAAAAGTATCATATTTTTTTATAAGACGCTGTCTCACGCCGTTCAGATTTCAAGGAACCCACGTCAGATACAGTGCCTTCCAAGCAACGATATTTTTCCTGCATGCAGTCGCTCTGTTCGTGAAATGCCTTAAGAACGATTAATATTTAACAGAGCTGATAGTTCCGGCGAAATGTGATTAGAAATCAGCAGAACGTTTTGTACAGGTCTCGAACACCGAAACCCTTGGTTCGGATCCCATTGAAGTTGCTTTCGTCACACAAGATTTTACACTTTCGGAGATATTTCTTAATTTGAATAGACCATAACGCATAATCCACATAACTCCCTCGGGAAAATGTACGATAACAAATTAAGCGATGGTAAACTGATATTCATCACGTAGTTGCTTGTTTTATCTCTTTGGGGCTTAGTAATTAACACCAGTGATTCACATATTCCAAACATCTCAGAAAGTTTCTGTTGCGTACCTTAATAGCTTCTCACGCTCGTCTTTTTGCAATAATCCTGCTTCAATGTCGTGAATCCGCTTATGTTTCGTACCCCTATCTCTGGTTTATTGTCTCCTAATTCAGTTTTCTCCAGTGGAATAACCCCTAGGCCGCCAAACGTCACGTACCTCATTCCAGCGACATGGAATTATGTCTCTGATTACAACATTTCAGAGCCATAAAGTTCCTGTTGTCTCGTGTAATTTTATCCGTGTATCCTTGCCAGGTTTCTGAAGTAAGACGTGAGGAAAACTTAAGAAATTAACATTAAGAAAAGCCGATGAACGTTTGCTTACCGAATCCGATAAAAGTTTAAAACAGCAGTTGGAAATATACCGACAATACAAGAATATTCCATAAATAATTCATATTTTCCCACTTTCCTTTCAATATGTCGAATTACATGATCGTTGGATCGAGAGAGTTATCAATATGTCGAATTACATGATCGTTGGAGCAAGAGAGTTAAAAATTAACGAGAAACGATGAACAATAACAGATCAAGATTTCTTGTTCTCTTGTTATCAGCTGGTGATATATATGACCCTTAACAGTGATACCAACACTTGACTAGGAAGAAAATAGGTGGAATATTTATACGGAATTTGGCGCTGTGTACATGCCAGACTGACAACAGCGAACAATGACTGGGAATAGTTCCAAAACTGCAGTATTGTCAAATCACGGAGTGCAAAAAAGGAGGGGGGTAAATGACTGTGGCTGGCGAACACTGTCAGCCTAGCTCTTTCATCACCAACCGATGTTTCACCTCCTGACGTAATGATAAAGGTTTTTACCACGGAGCAAAGCTATTCTGCCCGGACAATTTGCAAGTTCACGGAATACGATTACCCAGTCATATAATTCGACACTAAATAAATGCTGAGGTTTTCGCAGCTTCATTAAATAACTTACGATCCATCCATTATTCATGAAATATCCTCTGGTCTTCACCTGCTCCGTCACTGTCAAACAAAAATAATTCCCTTGAAACGTTTGTCAGTTATCGCCTTCGCTCAGAACAACGGCTGGCAGTGTTATTGTATTATGAGTCTTTATGTCCTGATCCAGGAAGCAGTTTATGAACTGTTGTGTAATTACAGCTTTAAAGTCGGGACGAGCTGCTACCTCAGAATTCCGCATCACACAGTGTCCTCGAAGTAGCAGGGAGACGACGAGTAAATTTTATAAAATATCTGCATACCAAATTCGCTAAATAATTTGCAGTTTGCGAAATTGGATGTGTCCCTACGGACGTTCGTACGGCTTCAGGCGTGATCGAGACAGGAATTATGGTCAGGTGCAGGGAGCGTAATCAACTTTCATGTGTGCAGTCAGCCATATTGAAAGTCCACATGCACGCACACACACACATGGTATTACGTTTTCCTGACATAAAAATCAGACCGCCGTCTTCGGTTCGGCTGGCCCTACGTGAATTTCGGTCGGCAGATTATTAACCTTTAATGGAATATCACATCGTACAGGGTGTGGCGATTATCGCTTTGTAGATGTATTCGGAGCAATTCTTAATTACAATCTTGAATTGCACACACACGTTCTCAGAATTTGAACTTTTGTGCAGACTTTATTGTCTTACCCCTAACAAGGAACCTTCAATGGACAACCACAATGCAAATGAGAACTTTAAAAAATAAAATATTAAGATATACGAAAGCGTGACAAGAAAATTAGTAATAATTACAATGTTTTCCTGTGCTTTAGAAAGCAGCGCGGTATGAAGACGTGAAGGAGTGTCGAGAAACAGCTGAAGAAAACCTTCACTTCATGACTCGATGGATGTGACTGTCCAGCTGCACGCTTCAGCCGTCTTACCTTCTGGGAAGGAGCCCTCTGTACCTGACAGGTGTGTAATTGAGCGCTAGAGATGTTCTAAACGCGGTGAGGAAACATAAGTTCTTGCCACTGCCGGACTGACAATATAAGAAAGGTGAAAATATCACTTCGATAGTTGTGCAAATGCTTTGAGGAATCCGCGTCACCCACCAGAGGGTGTTGATAAGCTCAGACCCTGCTAGTGGGGTTGTTCAAGTGTTTTCAACCCTCCATTCGGAGGGGTTAGTTTAGATTCTTACTCAAGATTTTAAAACGCAACCAACCTCACCGAATGACCTTGATATACGAAAGGAGCTCCGAGAGGAAAAACGCGAAATTATCGAAAAAGAACGACTCTAAAGAAAACGCTCCAAAAGGAGCGCGTTGCTCTAGTCTTAACATAAAACGTGAAGACTAGAAGTTAAAAACAACAACTCATTTTTCTAATCTTTCATAAACACAAGATGCTTACTCATCTAAGTAAAATATTGCCCAGTTTCACGTGTCATGCCACAACAAAATCAATCCTTAGACACCTTCATAACCTACTGTCTGGAATCCACTTTAATATTATATTCCCACATACGTCTGGGCGTCCAAAGTGACCTCTTCACTTCAGGCACGCGTACGTCTGCAAACGAATGAGTACGGAAGACCGGGGTCTTCTGGTGAACAAGCTGACCCCCACCGAGGCCGAGGATCTGCTGTTCCTCCGTTACTTCTTTCACGATCGGTCTGGTATCCCCCGCTCGGTGGTTCGACCTGTCTTTCCCGTATTCTCCCTCACGTACTTAGATCAGCTCCTATCCTCCCCGTCAAAACCCAGTCGTGGTAGAATTCTTTACTTCGTCATGAAAGTGGGCTGTGGGTCACTTCCAAGATCTGTTTCGTTTGTCTTTGTTAACTTGTTTCTTGCAAGGCAATTTCCATCGTTCTATTTTTGGCTAAGTAAAGACATTTCTTCCTTTAAAAAGATCTTAGTCTACAAACAATTGCATCTCACCTTTAACTAAACCAACAACGTCGTCTAATTTTTGATATAAATTATCATTTTGAAAACGACGTGATATTCAGGCATTTCCAATGGGAGAACTTCCATCCCAACCCTTCCTTTACCTGATCCAAAGGAAATGGATCGTTTAAATCGGATTTAAGGAACCGGGCAACGAAGCACATTCACAGTCCAGCTCATTGCTCCTGATGACATTTCCCTTAAAATAATTAGATGGGGAGGACAAATTATTCAGATCGTCATACTGACTGTAGATGTCATCTGTCCAGTTTCGCTGTACCTCTTTAAGTTCTGAACAACGATCCCCAACATGCACCGTTTTCCCTCCCAGCCCGAGTGCCAATTTTCACGCATTTTGTCAAAATAAAACAAGGCGCGAAGTTATAATTCTCTAAATTTCGTCATACGGAAAATAACAGACTTCCAAGGATTATATTATAATCAACTTCTTGTTTAAATTACGTCACGAAAGGGATCAGGTTAATAATCTGTAATGGTCGGTTTTAGTTACACAAAACCACTATGGATGACGCTTCAGAGCGTTACTTTTAGAACACATGGTACTGAATTCAGTAATTCCCCTGGGGCCTCTGAGTCACCTCCCCCATTCGAGGGGCTCCTACCCTCATGCAGAAGGAACTCGAAGGACAATGCACCCTCTCGTTGTCTACATAAGCATTGCTAATTGGAGCTATTGTTCCGTGACAGTGTAAACAGTTTCAGCCTGGGGATAGACGTCCTGGAATCCTGGAACGCATCAGGACCTGGAGACGGTCGGATGGAACAGACCTCCGTGTGGTCCGCTCCGTGCATGTGCCTCCAACAGGCTCACCGGTTCATAAAACAATGGAGGCTCTCAAAAGTGGTATCCCTGCTGTGTGTTCAATTTCAGCCAACAGAAGCACGTGGACTTAAGAGGGAAGGTTCGTGTGTTTAACTTGGGGTGTCACGTAAGGGCCAATATGGGGGTTTCGTGACAAACAGATGATTGTTCGCATATTGAAGACGTTAACAACGGAGGACCAGACCTGTAGCGAGAATACAGTAAACAAGTAATGCATACATAATTTTGGGCAAATCCCTTGAAAGACCATCGCCTGGAAGTTCGAGTAAAATGTGTGAGGACAACATTAACAACTGAGTAACGTTATCGAGGAAAAGGGTTGTTCGCTTACGGAGCGGATGGTGCCGATCCAGGACCGTGTCGAACCCCGGGATTCCATATTAGCTATATTTATCTTTCAGATTATAATACCAGACATTAGGTTGATCGCTACAATTGAATAAAATGTGGTGATAAGTGGAAAGTAGCTTCACTGCGGTGGGTTGAAGGAACATTTGTCGCCCCTGTCGGGAACTGAACCCTCATGGCCCAGCTCGTCGATTAAAATATATTTGCGTATAATTTTTCCTTGGCGTCTAATATAGCGTTTCTTTGATTTCCAAGGGCTCTCATCTGCACAAATCGGGTGTGAATTACTTTTCCTTCGATAGATGGCAACAGGTGGTTTGGGTTGCTGGCTGTTTTTTTTTTTAAATTTTTGCACTCAGTTGCTCCAACTTGGTCTAGGTTTGTACGCCACAGCACGGACGTCGGCGTCACTTTGATTTCTGTTCCAACACGCTCCTGAACACCCGTGAAAGAAAAACGTGTCTTGAACTGCACCCGTGGTCGAAATGGATGAGTCAGAATTTGGCTATCTTCTGGGGTTTTAGTCTGTTAGAAGTTTACCAGCGTTTCAGAGACCTCTGAAACGTCAGTTCTCTTCTAACAGACTACACGGCGCTACAACCCAGAAGATAGCCACAACTTGGTGATAGAATTATCTTCATGAACATCAACATTAAATGTTGTTTCATATTGTTTTGACAATAAACTCACCGAACTAAATTGTGTTTGGCATAATCAAACAGCGCCATGAGATCTGCTGGCACAGGATTCAGCAAACAGCTTCCCACATTCCTTCCAGCGCCTGTTTTCTCTAGATTATTCTACTTAAACAGCCAGGTTATCGGAATTTATAAGTTGCAGCATTTCCGGACAGCGGATTCTGTATGAAAGAGTCGGGGAATCCTACCGTCAAAGAAACGCTGATCCACAACGCTCAAGTTTGCGCCACGATTGGTAAGTTATATAAAAGTTAAATTTTAATTACAGATAAGCTGACACATCTGTCTTAACATTTTTCTTCTGTACAGATTTCTATTACCAGCAGATCTAGTCTAAGTACGAGTGATATAAGAACAATACTGAAAGCGTACGAAGTTATTAAGGTTAACATTAAATCTATAAATTTAAACGAGAGGACATAGATTATTTACTGCAGCTGTTGAATTAGGACCCAAATAGCCTGTGATGAACCGACTTCACCACACCGTTTGGTCAACAACGTCCAACCTTCTTCTATTCTAATAAAAGTCATACCATTAGAATTCGCTGTGTAAAAAGACTGTCAAGTTCCTCTTCGAAGGAACTGCCATTTGCCACGCGGTTTGCAGTCTTTTGCTTCGACTTTTAGTTTGTTCGTGATTTAAATTCGTGTTAAAATCAAAAGTCTGTACACACTGATGACTTTTCAGACTGGAGGACGAGGGCACCTGCGCCCAGCGCTGCTCCGCTCTTCAAAGCAGCAGGCAGCATTCAAGCTGTAGCTATTTCACAACACAAAACCCAGCAAGAAACTGGGAAGACGTCATAAACTTTGGAAACGGAATGACACACAGGCTAGAGGAAGATAATAACACTTTTACTGAGATTGAAGATTAGTCGAAATTTGGTTCATTTCATTTTCTCGATTTCTCTTCAGATCTATAAATAAAAAGAACTTTACGATAACAAAAGAGAAATTGGGGGCTCTAGCTAGCAATAAAACCATAACCCGCATACTGGCTACGCTCCTAAACTCAATTTTCACAAAAGTTTCGCATAGTTCTTTAACAGCAGTTCAAAGAAGATAAAGCTTGAAGCGCTATTAAAGAATCAGTCTTACGACAAGAGACGAAGTAATAACTTTAATGTTTATCACTTATTCCAAATAACAATTTAGGGAAAGTATTTCAAATTGCCTCTGAACACTGCTTCAGAGAATCCGAATATCACCCCTCCCCCAAACCTAGGCTTGGAACAGCAACGGATAATGGCGAGTAACGGGACCCTCCAACGCAAAGAACAGTTTCCAGAGAGCCATTTCATCCCGAATAAAACAAATAAATAATTTTCCTAGAAAATCGCTCAAGAAACAAAAAGGCAAACACGCGACACTGTATATAAAGTTTGTGACAGTTCGTTCTCTGAAAGAGAAAAAATCATACCTGCGGTTAGGTTAGGTTACGTTAGGTTAGATTAGGTTAGGTTAGATTAGGTTACGTTAGGTTAGGTTACGTTAGGTTAGGTTACGTTAGGTTAGATTAGGTTAGGTTAGGTTACGTTAGATTACGTCAGGTTAGGTTAGCTTAGGTTAGATTAGGTTACGTTAGGTGAGGTTAGATTAGGTTAGGTTAGATTACGTTAGGTTAGGTTAGATTAGGTTAGGGTAGGGTAGATTAGGTTACGTTAGGTTAGGTTAGGTTAGCAATGTCATCCCACTTTCAGTACTATTACTGCAGGATACAAGATTAGAAAAACGCAGTCTGAAGTACACTAAAATTCCAAAAAGTGCTATTCACACACCACATCACGGGCGATGACGTCAGACGATAGCTTCCTTCATAAACACGGCTGAAAGGCGTTGTGGAATGACCACTGTTACTCGAATGTAACAATGGCAGCTGAGGCCAAGATAATTGTTCCGACAATGTGATTCTAAGTCACTGTTGTGAGGCTCTAACTGTTGCAGTTTGCTTGAGTCTCAGAAAATACACGCAATGGACACGCGTCTCATGTAATTTTTCACGTTTTTAATCTCATCCGTTTCCATAACGTAATTTCCCTTAGCAGGGAAATTACGTTAAGAATCGTCCTCAGTTCCTGTACCACACAGCTATGCGGAGTTAGCATATGGAACGTACTTGTCATTTCTTTATATTGCGTTTGAAGTGAGGAGGCTGCGTCTTGTAACTGATCGATGGTTATCGCAAGAGTAGAACGTTGCGCACGCACCAGTTGGCAGAGTTCAGAGACATATCAGAGAGTGTGTCAGGCCCAGCCAATAATCTGCTTCTGTGAGCAAATCACCATTAAAAAAATTGTGTCGGTTTCTGCGTCTACACATTGTGTCCCGCCCTTTACAATTCACATGTTGCACAAGTATTCATTTATCTGTCGCACATGAATAAATAACATTTTGCAAATAGTTGAGACGGCTGTCCAGGTCGGCAATGTTGCAGTCCACCTTACCATTACAGGGTATCTTGATTCAATTACAAGGCAGGCCCCTTCACACATCATGGTGCCCTGCATCTCGGCAATAACTGTAAAGTGACAGTCTTTATACTTTGCGGTAAATCATAATAGTTTAAGAACTACGGTAGAATCCTGATTATTCGGGATCAGGTTAACAGCGGTCTAACTGGAAAAAAAAAAAACATCCCAACTCTCACAAACAAGCTGAATTCAATTTCTTTGTGAACAGATTGCACAAAATACCATTCTCCAAAGAAACTAATCTCATCCAAGAAATTTGCCTCTAGTGTAATTTATAGTGTAAACAGTTCGTTTGTATACTTATCGTTATAGGGGTGTATTTGGTTTAAAGAAATACAAATTAATTTATAAAATCTGTCGTAAACATTATAACGTTTAAAAAGAAAAAAAATAATTACTATGACACTATTTTACGTATTAACACATATTAATTCTTGCTGAAACTTAAAATTTACGAAAATTTCATTAATACCTGTAGGAATATCTTTTTTAAATACTTAGTATGTACTACATTAAATTTTATTTGAAATCATGTATGTTATTAGCAAGTCTTTAAAAATTAATTTAGTGTTTGTGTGTTAAATAAAATTACGTATTTGTTAAATTTTTGTGTTTTCCTAAAGTTTTTTTCAGATTATCTTGGGTTTCGATTATCCGACCAACCCGGATAATTGGGATACAAGTTACATCGTCTTAAATACGGCTTTAATTGGCAACTTTACCGCATTGACTTCTTCATTTGGTGAGTGCCAGAGACGCCATATTTTACCTGTAAGTTCCCCCCCAGAAATTTCACCGAAGCGATTTGAAGTCCTTTCAAACACATATGAACGAATGTGACTGAAGAATGTAGACGTTTATTTATAAACGCCACTTTGCAATGAGAACAATCGGACAGAAGAACTAGGTGACAATACTGGACCTCGAAATTACGTCGACAGATTTCCGGAAGTGAGCGACAGAGCTTATTGCAGGAAAAATTTAAAGGAAAAAAAATTAAACAACAAATATAAAATAAAACGGATGATTAATTAAAAAGAGACATGTAATGCAATATTATCAGAGGAAGGAAAATCGAAAACGAGAAATTGGAAGATAAGGTAGTATGGAGTAACGGAAAACATGATAACCTGGCAAGTTCATTCTGCCGAAAGTTAGATGATTTGGTCTGAGGAACACACGGGCAATCGACCTGACGTGCTGCTATTTGGACTGCAGCCAGGAGCTGATATTCGTCAAGAAAAGCGATAGCCTACGATTCCACACAGCGGAACAGTCACTGCCAACCGAATGATGGAACGAGAACAGTCATTAACTCGGAAAAGACCAATCAAACCGAATAGTTCCGGCTGGCACTGCAACTAGCGACTATGCCGACTTATTTACTAGCCAAACAGTGAACCAGCGCTCTTTAAAAAATGTTGCAAATTGTCCAAAAAGCGCAACAAACCAAAAAAATTGCAAAATTTCACATTAAATTTTTTTCAAATTTCTAAAAAAATTTGGTTCTGTGCGCTTTTATGACAATTTCCAGGATTTTTTGAATATTCGAAAATTTGTAAAAAATTTCTAAAATCTCACCAAGAAATGCCTGAAAAACTTGGTGAATGCCTCTAACTGTCTCCGCCGGACTTGGCTTCTATCTCTCATGTTTGCTGCGTACCTATGTGTGTCCACCAACCGGCAAGTCCTAAGTCTCGAAAAGTCCTAAGTCTCGAAAGTTCGCATGTCCCAAGTAGCGAAATGTCGAAAATCCCAAGTCGCGAAAAGAAACAAGTCCCGAGTCTTGAGAAGTCAGTCGTCCCAAGTTTTGGGAAGTCACTTGTCCCAAGTTTTGAGAAGTCACTTGACCAAAGTCTTGAGAAGTCACTCGTCACAAGTCTTGAGAAGT